AAACAAACAAATAAATAAATAAATAAATAAAATGAATGTCGGTCTAAGGAATATATAAATTCAAATCTGCTATTTTACACATGGGTATATAACTACATATAAACACTTACTGACAGAAGCTAGCTAGGGAGGGGAGAAGGTAGAAGGAAAACAAGCTTTTCTTTACTTCCCAAGTTGAATTTTAAAATATCCCATCCCAAAGCATATGAATTTTGTTTTAACAGGGCTCATTTTATATAGAATTCAGGCAGCATCATGAGTTTCTGCTACAGCATTCTCAAGTGATTCCTGCCCTGAGATCGAAGTTTTATTTTAAAACAGACCTTAATTTTCTGTCACACTGCTGAGAGTGGGAGAGTTAGGTGATTACAATAAAGTAAACCACTTTCCATGTTCTGTTTAACCCACTGCGTTCCTTTCAAAAAAAAAAACACAAAAAACAAAAAAAGGACTGTTAGAAAAGCACCAAAACTTCAAGGCTCCTAAGTCCAAGTCTATAACGAAAAGCAAGCAAACCTTAATAAAGACCCTTGACCATGCACAGTGGCTCACACCTGTAATTACCCAGCACTCTGGGAGGCCGAGGCAAGTGGATCACCTGAGGTCAGGACTTTGAGGGCAGCCTGGCCAACACAGTGAAGCTGTGTCTCTACTAAAAATACAAAAATTAGCTGGGCATGGTGGCAATGCAATCCCAGCTACTCACAAGGCTGAGGCAGTAGAATTGCTTGAACCCAGGAGGCGGAGGTTGCAATGAGCCAAGATCATGCCACTGTACTCCCGTCTGGGCACCAAGAATGAAACCCTGTCTCAAAAATAAATAAATGCCCTTTAAGTGATTCAAAAAAGTGAAATTCCTCTTCAATGGAGAGAAGAGATAGATAACTTATCCTAGGTTAGTTTGTAGACTCAATTCACATGAAATCTGAGAAGGCAGACTTTTCTAAGTGTATACCTATGTATAGTTTTCCAAATTAGGCACTACTAGGCTAAAACTTGAAATAAGCATTGTAGGGTCCACATGCTCAGGAAGCATTCAGTATTAAAAAAGGAGAACCTAGATCAAACATATTAAAAGTGTAAACATACAATATTTAATAAAATATCAGGAATTTGCCCCTAAAAAATCTGGGAAGGTTTAAGTTGCGGGGAATAAAAAAGACACAACATTGGTCAAGAGATGTTTTTTGCTTTAACTTAAAGCACAATAGGTACTTGGAGGTACATACTACTATTTTGTCTACTTCAATATACATGTACGTTTTTCTATAATAAAAAATACTAGATATGGTTAAAGCAAAATACATGATTAACTGCCAAACAAGTGACAAAGATAACTACTGCATTTGTTCAGAAAGAGACACCTCTTCTCATTAGGTGACATGTGCCGGTAGTCTTCCATATTACAAAATATCCTCCCTCAATTCCTTCATTTTGAACAAAGGGTTGTCCAAGAAAGTCTTATGAGCCTAAAACAACCTCAATTAAACAATAATTTTTGGTGTCATTAAAGAAGAACTTGAACACTTTATTAATTATGCTTAAGATACGGCATCACAACTGTACACAGGTGTCATAATAAATAAGCCATCTTCAATCTGTTTTATAAAAAGACTAAGTCAGTTATCAATGATCTAATAAGTGGGGATCTTAGCAAACAACAAAATCAACTGTCAATATTATAGAAATGGAAATGCAATCCCAAGCCACAGTACTCACTGTGCTCACCATCAGAAATGAATTTAAACGTGCTGTAAATAGTTGTACACTTAAATGAAAGTAGACATGTTCTAACAAACTATGCTAGATTTCACAAAAACAATCACAAGTAAGAGACTACACTGATTAAACCTCAGTCAGAGACTTCTCACTGATAAGCTATTGTGAATGCTGTCCTGTGGTAAAAGTGTTCCCCCTGATCTCATGGATACTAGGCTTTCTAGTATCCATGCCTTTGTATAATTCCCTCCCCTGGAGTATGGGCAGGACCTGTGAATTGCTTCTAACCAGTAGAAAATGACGGAGGAAATGGGATGTCACTTCTATGACTATGTGACATTATACAAGACTCCATGCTGCCAGCAGACTTTCTCCCTGACTCCCTCATTGGCTTGGAAGGCGCAAGCTGCCATGCAGAGAGGGCTTATGCATAGGGCCACATGACAAGGAACGTAGGCTGCCTCTCAGCACCGAGGGCAGCTACCAATCGGCAGCCAGAAAAAGCCCACAGCCCTCACTTAGTCTTAACAGCTGCAAGAAAGCATTCAGCCAGCACTCTAAGTGAGCTTGAAAGCAGATCCATTGCCAGCTGCGACTGCAGATGTGACCTAAGCCCTGGCCAACACACTGACTACAGCCTTGCAGAGGGCAGGACTTATCTACAACAGAAACTGTTATATAACATGTGTTCGCTTAAGCTGCTATATTGTGATAATTTGTTACACAGCATAGAAGAGCAATACAACCAACTATTTAACTATAAACTTTTGCTCCTATATGGCAAACATACTCCCAAAGCCTCAGGGAGCTGAGAGGCCAAAGAGGCTAACAAATCCAGTTTCTCAGAAAGAAACATGTAATAGGGACTTATGAACAGAAGCAACGTCTTAGGCAACTGAGAAATGGTGGATCCCCTATGTCACCCTCCAGAAGACACCCTTTATAGATAGAGTAAGCTTTTGGAGCAAACATATGTACAGCTGAACATGCCTCAGTCTCCCTTAGGAAACTTGTGGCCACTGGAGAGGTTAGATAACCACCTCCATGAGGCATTATCAATGCTACAGGCATTGCTTTTAACCTTGCTGCGGGAAAGCCTTGGTATGCCGGAGTCAAACACTGGACATTATGACTGGTTTCACTTCCAGATGGTGTCACTCTTTTCCCGCAACAGGCTGTTTTCCTATAATTACTCTCATATTTTCAGTTTGACAGTTCCACATTTGCTATGTTTTGGGTAGTGTTTGCCTTTTTAGTTATTCTACTATTACTCCCTTTGAGTTTAAGGAAATATGAATTCTAGAATTCTAGGATGCAACAGAAAAACCCACATTCACCCTGTAACAGAATGGCCAGATGTCCCAGTTTGCCAGAAACAAGTTTGTTCCAGCTGTCACAGCATAATTAATAGTACGCCTTTCCACTCCCAAAGTGTCCCAGTTTAGACGGTAAGGTATACGATCATTCAGCCTTATAATCGCATCCTATATATTAACCAGTATCTTTCCAAGGAAGATTCTTATCCTTTTCAGTTTGTTACTATTGCATCCATTTCTATTATCAGTAACATTTTGCTGGACTTCTCCCAGATTTGTGATTTGAGAAACCGGTTCAACATATAGATCAAGATACACCTAAGATGTAGACACACTCAACAGAGCTTTCTATGTGTCAATTCATATTATACCCTTCATCTGAGTAATTAATTTATATAATGCTGATATACCCTATATTCTTACAATTGTAATTTTCCTACAGTTTATGCTACATACTAGCATAAAATTGTTTTTTAAAATAGTCAGGTGTGGTGGTTCATGCCTACAATCCTAGCATTTTGGGAGGCCACGGCGGGAGGATCACCTGAGGTCAGGAGTTTGAGACCAGCCTGGGCAACATGGTGAAACCCCGTCTCTACTAAAAATACAAAAATTAGCTGAGTGTGGTGGCATGCACCTATGGTCCCGGCTACTCTGGAGGCTGAGACAAGAGAATCACTTCAACCTGGGAGGGAGAGGCTGCAATGAGCCAAGATCACACCACTACACTCCAGCCTAGGAGACAGAGTGAGACCTCATCACCCAAAAGTAAAAATAAAATAAAGCAAAACAGTCACTCTTGTATAAACTGACAATGAAAATAGAGCTCTCCTACAGCAATTTCATACATGCAAGTTCCACCCTAATTTATTTCATATATAAATAAATGCAGGTGAAGTCACATACAAGTGTGAACATGTACTTACCTAGACTGATTCACATATTTATTTTTAAAACATTTTCTTATACGGCTTATGTGTGCCAGGAGCTATGCTAAGGACCGGTGATACAAAGTTATGACTTCTCCTTATATAAAAGGAAACAGAGGTTCTGCCTTGTTGTTCACAGACAATAAACAAGTGATAGTGAAAAAAAAGGTTCTAACATACTTGTCTCTCAGAAAGGTTCTAGAGAGAGTAAAATACAAATTAAAACTATACTCGCTAACTGCAAAATACATTACTACTGTACTTACATTAAAAATCACATATGCAATATAAAAAGCTATTTACAAAGCCCATTTCAAGTTTCTTATCTAATGTAATTCTAATCCCCAAAATAGTTATTTTTAAACAACATGTTTTGAATAGGGCACAATAAATAAAAAGTCGTAAAACTCATGCAATGTCCCCTGAAAGCATAGATGTTGTGTAATGACTGGGAGGGACCAAATGGTGGTTTCCAAAGTGCTGATGATGTTCTAATTTTTAATATTGGATCTAGTTGCATAGGTATAGTTTGTCTGAATACTCACCAAAGTTTACATTGAAATTTTACATTGAAAATGATGTGAAATTTTCATTTTCAATTCAGTAGTTATGAAAACACACAGTCAAAACTTTTAGAAGATGAAATCTTAAATCTATATCAATAAGGAATATTGATCTGCCCACCTCGGTTTCTCAAAGTGCAAGGATTACAGGCATGAGCCACTGTGCCCGGCTGTGAAGTCACCTTTTAAAACATTTCCTTGCTATGTCTACTAAAAGGGACTTATGATTAAAAACCATGACACCTCACTAGTAATGAGCACACCTAAAGCCACCATCATGGTTTCTTTTCTTTTTTTTTTTTTTTTTTTGAGGCGGAGTCTTGTCTGTTGCCCAGGCTGGAGTATAGTGGCACAATCTCTGCTCACTGCAACCTCCGTATTTTTAGTAGAGATGGGGTTTCATCATGTTGGCCAGGGTGGTCTCAAACACCTATCCTCGTGAGCCACCCACCTTGGCCTCCCAAAGTGTTGGGATTACAGGCGTGAGCCACCGTGCCTGGCCATCTTGGTTTCTAAATGCCATCCGCCACTAAAAGAAAGACACTTTTAGATTGTAAGGCTGGAGAAAGGAAGATACAAGATGATTCTGTCTTATACCAAGAAGTTAGAAAGTGCTCAAAGAATGATAAAATCTTGACAAATGAACATAGGAGCCAGCCTGAAGCTACTGGTCCCATCAGGAACAATTTGGACATCAAAATCAATAATAATCACATGAACACAATAAAAGTCCATGCTGCTATAAAAAAGGAAATCCCTTTCTTGCTGTAGAATGACAACTAAAACACAGGGAAGCAATGACAGTCCTACTACTAGTACAGGTTAAGCATCCCTCACTTGGGTGCAAACATAACACCACAACTGGAAAATTCCACACCTGACCTCAACTGATGAGCTGAAGTCAAAACACAATGACAGAGGCTGGGCATGGCGGTTCACGCCTGTAATCCTGCACTTTGGGAGGCCAAAGTGGGAGGATCACCTGAGATCAGGAGTTCAAGACCAGCCTGGGCAACACGGTAGAACACTGCTTCTACTAAAAAAAAAAAAAAAAATACAAAAATTAGCTGAGTGTGGTGCATGATGGTGTGCGCCTATAGTCCCGGCCACTTGGGAGGCTGAGGTAGGAGAATCACTTGAACCCGAGGCAAGGATTGCACTGAGCTGAAATCGTGCCACTGCGCTCCAGCCTGGGCAACAGAGCGAGACTCCCTGTCAAAAAAAAAGAAAAAAAGTGGAAGAACAATGAAGGAGTAGTCAGCTTGGAGAGGCTTCTATGGCAAAACTGAGGATAATTTGAACATCATGAAAAAGAATACTTGTAATTGATTATGGAACAACCATAACACTGAATAAATAAAAATCTATTATGACACAAGAAGTAGAAGAACAATAAAGTGGAAAAACTCATTCACAGCATGGGTAGAAAGTATCACATAGATTCCTTATTCTAACAACTGGCAACTGAAGACTTCATTATCTACTTTGCCCTTTCTGAAGAAACTATAGTTCAACACCAGTTAATGAGAGAAAGTTCTTCTTTACAGAGGAATGCCTACTAATAAACATGAAAAAAATAACAGAATTAGAAAAGTACCATTTTGTAAGACCCAATAAAATAACTGAAAGTGTCCTAATCGTCAGTGGGTGTGCTGGAGAACAAGCTATTGGTCAACTGCCAAATCCCTCAGATTATGTGGTGATTGCGAAGTGAAATATTTCCCTTATGAAGAAGACATTGGTGGTCTCCACTTGAATCCGATTATCAAATTCAGCAACGCAGAGTGATACAACTACCATCGTGTTCTATACAATAATCTGCAATATGAACAACATAGTATCACTTAAGAATTATTCATTCCCAAAAATGTTTACTCTCAGTCTAATCAAGCCTGTAGATCTAATTCCCACTTTATAAAACATATAATGGACAGAGGAGCAAATTAAAAGATACTATAAGGAAATGTTTGGACAAAATTCAGACAGTGTCATTCTATGAGACAATCAGTCTTATCTGTTCAAATATTCAGAGGCAGTCCAGGTGCAGTGGTTCATCCTATAACTCCAGCACTTTGGAAGGCCAAGGTGGGTGGATCAATTGAGGCCAGGAGTTCAAGACCAGCCTGGGCAACATGGTGAAACCCCGTCTCCACTAAAAATATGAAAATTAGCCAGGCATGGTGGCACGTGCCTATATTCCCAGCTACCTGGGAAGCTCAGGTGGGATGATCAGTTGAGCCCAGAAGGCTGAAGTTGGAGCCCAGACTGCACCACTGCACTCCAGCCTAGACGACAGAGTGAGCCTCTGTCTCCAAAAAAAAAGAAAAAGAAAAAGTGTCAACCAAGTGTGGTGGTTTACTACACCTGTAACCCCAGTGCTTTGGGAAACCAAGGTGGAGGTATCACTTGAGCACAGTTTGAGACCACCTGGCCAACACAGTGAGACCCCCTGCCTCAACAAAAAAAAATCAAATATTAGCCAGGCATGGTGGTGCATACCTGTAATCCTAGCTACTCAAGAGGCTGACGCAGGACGATTGCTTGAGCCCAGGAAGTCAAGGCTGCAGTGAGCTATTAATATTATTACACTACTGCACCCACCACTGCACTCCAACCTGGGCAACAGAGCAAAACTCTGCCTCTTTAAAAAAAAAAAAGAGGAGGTGAGTCACAGAGACCAAAAAAAAAAAAAACTTGAGACTGCTATATATTAAAAGAGACTAAAGACTAAGTATGAGAAATGTAAATACATTTAACAAAGTAAATAAATTAATTTTAAAAAGAGACTAAAGAGACATAACCAAATGCAAAACATGAACCTAGATGGAATGATGGTAGTTCGAAAAAATAAAACAGAAAACCGCAGAAGACTTTTTTTTGAAGGCTTTAAGAAATGGGAAGGAGCTAGGCACAGTAGTTCCTGCCTGTAATCCCAGCACTTTGGGAGGTCAAGGCAGGCAGATCCCTTATGCCCAGGAGTTTGAGACCATTCTGGGTAATATGGCAAAATCCATCCTCTACAGAAAAAAAAAAAAAAAAAAAAAAAAAAAAAAATATTAGCCAGGCATGGTGGCATGTGCCTGTAATCCCAACTACTCAGGAGGCTGAGGTGGGAGAATCACCTAAGCCTGGGATGTTGAGGCTGCAGTGAGCCACGTCTGCACCACTGCATTCCAGCCTGGGTGACAGATGAGACCCTGTCTTCCCCCACCCCACAAAAAAAGAGAGATAGGAGGTCTCACTATGTTGCCCAAGTCACACTCAAACTCCTGGACTCAAGCCATCCTCCCACCTCAGCCTCCTAAGCAGCTAGGACTAGAGGTGCACACCAACACACCCAGCACAAAAGGTTTTTTTTTTTTTTTTTTTAAAGAACTCAGGGAATTGGAATATGGCCTGAATATTAGATGATATTAATAAATTATCATTACTCTTCTTGGGAAGACAATGGAGTTATATGTAGAAGTATGCCCTTATTTTTCAATGATGCATCTAATCATTCCTTTGTATTTAATACTCTCATCAAATATGCCTATGTCTTTTCACTTAAAGGTTAAAATGTTTCATTAGAACCTAAATGAAGGAAGAGATAAGTAAAATTCAAGGGTATAAAGAGAAGGTCCTCGGTCACCTGAGGGGAGAAATCCCTGACATCGAGTGGCACTGCCATTGTGCTGCTCAGAGCTCTCCCCATGTCTTTCCCTTCCCCCTTCTATTCACCCAAGATCTGCCCTAAATTTTGACTGGGAATTATCACCTCAGTACGAAGGTAATGTGTGGAGAGCTCAGGAGAGGTAAGACGTCATTAAAGCTTATTTTGCTGATACAAAGAATACATAAATTGTGGTTATAACATATGGTCAGCCATGAAAATATAGGGTTGCTAGCAGCCACCTGAAGAGCTGAAGAAGGCAACTAGCATTTACTGAACTAGGCATCGCATATACACTCATTATTTATTTCTCCCAATAACCCTTAAAGCACTATTTTTAAACAGGCAGGTAGTTGAGTAGGATGGCTATGGCTATAGAGAGACTCTGGGCCAGGCACAGTGGCTCATGCCTGGAATCCCTGCACTTTGGGAGACTCAGGTGGGCAGATCCCCTGAGGTCAGGAGTTCCAGATCAGCCTGGCCAACATGGTGAAACCCCACCTCTACTAAAAATACAAAAATTAACCGGGCACGGTGGTGGGTGCCTATAATCCCAAGCTACTTGGGAAGCTGAGGCAGGAGAATGGCTTGAACCCGGGAGGTGGGGGTTGCAGTGAGCCAATATCACAACACTGCACTCTGTCCAGCCTAGGTGACAAGAGCAGAACTCTGTCTCAAAAAAAAAAAAGAGAGGGAGAGAGAGAGACTCTGAATCTAGACCATAGTGATTCAAATCCTAGCTCTATCAGCTTCATCACTGTATGACCTTGGGGAATTCCTTAAATTATTTGTGCCTTGGTTTTCTTATCCATAAAAGGTAGCAGTTCCAACCTTGTAGAGTTGTGAAGATTAAGTGAGTTAGTATGTGTAATGAGCTTAGAACAACGTCAAGCACAAACTAAGTACTACTTCATTATTGGCAGGCATTAAATTTGGCCTGTTTTATAGGAGAAATAAACTCAAAGACATTAAGGAGATTTGCCCACAGCAGTAACTAATAAGCAGCAGAGGGGATCCGAACACAAGTCTTAGGTTCTGTATCAAATGTAGACCTCCCACTCTTCACTACACCTCCTCCTTTCCTTCCAAATGGCTGGTCTCCTCAACTACAAAAGTGTAAGGTATTTCCCAGTGAGCTTCCTTCTTGAAGAATGACAGGCAGCAAAAAACCCATGAAATTCTGGACCAAGTTTTCTCCAAATGGCAATAGCTGCCCCTATGAATCAACTTTTCCCCACAGTGCTGAACTATAGTAACAATATTGCTAAAACACACCTTACCCATTTGGCCAAGAAATATGGTTTCCATGGGACATGAATAAGCTCCCAACAACTGACTTTAAAAAATCATCTTTGGAAATCTATCAGTTAGGCTTCCCGCATAACCATTTTCTTCCAGTGCCTGTTATTCCAGTTTAGCAGCTTTTCAGTTAGAAAGACATTTAATAATAACCTAAACCCAAACTAGCTCCCACATTAACTTCAATCTAAATTACTATGCTGAAGGAGTTCGTTTAGAATCTGCTCATCACTGTGAAATGTCATGATCTCAGATTTAGTTCCCCTGCAATACTCATTTGTCACTTCTGTAAAGGTCTAGTTATCCTAAAGTCCCTTCTTTATCAACAAAAGTCTGCAACTCTGTAACACAGCATTTTGTTATCAACAGAGAAAATGAGAAACAATGAAAAGAAATGTGTCTTGGTCCCCAGAAGGTTACAAAATGGAAGAAAAGCAAAAACATTCTGAGTACTAGTCTTCATAATTAATTATCTACAGAATAATGTTAAGAGAATATGTAATGATCCAGATTTTGTTTCAACAATCATGTTTGCCATAAACAAACTGGGAACACACTCACAACACCACCAGTTACAAGTAATTATTAATGGGTTATAGGTGACTTTCAGTTTCTTCTTGACACCTTTTTACACATCACATTACATATTGATTATACTTCTTTTATAAAACAATAAAATTTCTTTAAAAGTGCCTATAGAAGTAGGCTGGGCACAGTGGCTCACGCCTGTATTCCCAGCACTTTGGGAGGACAAGGCGGGTGGATCACTTGAGGCCAGAAGTTCAAGACCAGCCTGGCCAAAATGGTAAAGCCCTGTCTCTACTAAAAATACAAAAACTAGTTGAGTATGGTAGTGGGTGCCTATAGTCTCAGCTACTCAAGAGGCTGAGGCAGGAGAATCACTTGAACCCATGAGGTGGAAGCTGCCGTAAGCCAAGATCACAGCACTGCGCTACAGTCTGGGCAACAGAGCCAGACTCTGTCTCAAAAAATAAAAATACCTATGTAATATTGCACAGGGTTAAAGTCTAGGGGTGTAAGGCAGAAAGGGGAGTAAGCAGTTATGGAGAGGATAGAATCAAGCAATTAACTATACCCATTTCTAGGAAATGTTAGCCATTATAAGATTAATGCAAAATTAACTGTCAGTTCTACCACAGCAGAGCTCTAATGTTGGCTTATAAGTTAGGTTTATAGTTAGTTAAAAAGAACCAATTCCTACTCCCTTGAAAAAGTACGATTCTCTATCTTGTTTGAGAAGAGACATAAGACGGCAATATTCCTTTAAGTTATCCATTACGGACTGAACTATGCACACCCTCCTCTAAAAAAAGATAAATTGAAGCCCTAATCCTCAGTACTTCATAATGTTACCTTATTTAGAAATAGAGTTTTTACAAAGGTAATCAAGTTAAAATGAGGTCATG